TTTTTTTAATAATCTTGACCAATAACTTCTTTTTCCTAATGGGTGACTCTAAGCTACAATGTCGATCTTTGATTATGTGTGGGTCAGGGTTGGAGATTTTGCCGAACGGAATTTCGCTACCGACAGACTACACGGGCCGCAGTACTGGGGAGGCTTACGTTCAATTTGTTAACAAAGATGTTGCGGAGCGCGCTCTGCAGAAACACAAGGAAAAGATAGGACACAGGTGGGGCACTATTACGGTATAGCTGGGTTTGGGTATACTTCTATGACTTTTCCATATCATTTATATGAATGATCGTAGTACACGTAGGTATATACATTTCGTTTAGTAAATAGTGGGAACGAATTCTATACGATACGGATGCAGCTTCTTTATCCCCCCCACCCCTGCCGAAGAGGAGAGATTTTCCGCGCGGTTATCATGAAAAGTGGAGAAACTGTTGTTAACATTTGTTATTGTTGCCAAGCTACCCGGCGTATGTGTGGTGTTCGCACGTTTTGAAAGCTCACACAACTTGTAAAACTTAGAAAATCCCGCACCTCGCCGCAATCGGGGAAGATGGTTCCTCGATGAAACGATCACGGAACCTTCGAGGGCGGTCGAGTAAACTTTTTCCCCTTTTTTTGGTTGAAAGAGGATCGTCTCTCGAGAACTTCTCTCTTATCTGACATAAAGAAACTGCCTCTCGCAAAAAAAAAAACACAATTACAATACAGATAGTCGTACGTAAGCGAAAGTACTGTGGACCTGTGGAACTACTTATATCCGTGGGTGGGTGCCTGGGGGCGGGAGGTAGCCCCTTACCATCATCAGCGAGTCCCATGGGAGGTGGGTAGGGCAGGCCAAAGCTCTTGTGGTGGGCACTACAGACAGAAAGAGAGTGAGAGTGAGAGAAAGAGAGATAGTAACCATCGATCCAATACGGCACGTCTACGCTGCGTCCATAATTGCATCTTTTTGCAGCTCAACGTTCTCGAGCTTCAACCGTCTCCCTTGATCACCCTAGGAACTTGCTTTGTCGCACTAGAATATTCCTTTGTGTGTTAGACAATACGTCGATTTATCCACGTACCTGCACGATTTTCACGTTTCGATAGAAAACGTTGACCCGCAAAAGGATGCGATTGTAAACGCGCGGCTTGTTCGTCGAAGATCGTCGGCGTCCCATGGTCTTGTGGGGTACGTGTGGCGTAGGTACGTCGGGAAGCGATCTCTCGCCGTGGGAGGGTCTCTTCTTCTCGCAGGTTTAATGAAAGAATGCGGAGGTTTAGTATGAACACAGTCGTTCTGTCAACACTTGTAAGCGCAACTTCTCAACGCCAAACTGCCAAATGTTCACACGAGTTTCCTCGTTTATTTTATTTTACTTTTTTTTAAAAATCATTTCATTGTGTATAAACGTAAATAATTATAATCTCTCGCTGCTGCTGCGCAGGAATGGCTCCTCTTTCCACCCTTTCTGTTTCTATAGAGTCTCCGTGTCAATCACTGTTTCGTTTATTTTTTCCTTGTCTCTCATCACCTTGTGATCTTTCGAGTCAAGTCCGTATCGTTGAATCTTGTCGAGTCTTTCGGTTTTCTTTGTGGCATTTTGTACGGTGAGAATAAAATGACGATGACGATATTTATTTGCTAACTCACGTCTCTCTCTCGCTCGCTCTCTCTCTCTGTAACGCGTGCATCTTCAATTCATCAACAGATATATCGAGATCTTCCGAAGCAGCTTGTCCGAGGTACGCGCTAGTATCGGGCCGAAAATGCGCGGCGGTCCCATGGGCGGCTTCAATCAGAGGCCCGCGCCGTACACTCGTGGCGATCGTTTCGGCGGGATGAATCGCTTTAGCAACAACGGCCGAGGATCCAGAAATAGAGGTGATTCCTTTCATCTATCGAAGTATGAAGATCATGGCGGAGAATACCGTAATAGAGACTTATTATACAATTCACGTACTAATTCATACCGTATGTATTTACACGTTCTACAATTTACTTGCCGAGACCTCGCAGTCTACCTTTGGCTTTATCGTAAACCTTTCAATCGGCTCTAGACTTCGATAACGGTCCGTGGGGCGGCGGGAACAACTACGGGTCGCGCGGCGGCAACATGGGAATACGCGGCAGCATGGACATGAAGGGCGGCAATTACAGGGGCAACAATGACTCCTGGGGAGGTAATTCCGGCGTGTACAGTATCCATATGCGAGGACTGCCGTTCAAGGCGACAGAACAGGACATAGCTGATGTAATTCTTACAACCGATAGTAACGACAAGTTTCTTTTTTAGAGACTCCATTTTTATCTAACAGTTTGAACCTTGCTTTACAGTTCTTCAGACCAATCGAACCGGTGAACGTCCGTATTATCCTCGAGAACGGCGGACGTCCATCGGGAGAGGCTGACGTGGAATTCGCGACTCACGAAGAAGCCCTGAAAGCAATGTGCAAGGTTCGAGTCTACCTTTTTTGTTATTTTTCTCAATAGAAGTTGACTCTTACCCCGGTACTCATAGTCAGTTCTTATATTTAAGACCGTCTTGAATTTAATCCAAAGATGCTGTATGGAACATTTTGTTGGCTAAGGAGTATCTAGAGATGATCTTAAGACGATCGTAAATATAAGATTTGACTATGAATACCGGCCTTAGTCTCTTAGAAGCGATTTAGATGGGACGATGACTTATATCTGATAATTACTATACAAGTAGGATAATTTGATTTCAATTCTTTGTTTCGTCGCAGGATAAAAGCCACATGTCGCACAGATATATTGAACTGTTCATGAACTCAACCGGCGGTTCGAGTAGTATGTCACTGAGCGGCATCGGCAATTTCTGTGGAGGTAAGATTGCTGTATCATATCGAAAACTGAAAACGCATTACAGAAGATAAAACCTAGTTCTCTAAAATATTTTGAAAATACATTAGATATTGAAATAATCTCTTACTAAATGATTGGTATATTTTCCTTGTATGTAATTCTGAAACAGATTTGTGATTGTGATACAACTAAGTTACGATAATCGCAAGAAATTGTTCAACAATTCGTGTTTATTAAATCATGTTATTTAATACATTTACGTTTACACGCACATATGTTTCTTTGTTCGCAGGTTTAGGTAATAACTTCAGGCCAGGATACTCGCCGAACAACAGGGGATTCAACTCACAGTTGGGCGGCAATAATTACAATAGTTTTTGAGATCGGCCAATGCGTTTCTAACGCTAAACGATGGAACGGAAAAAAATCAAAGTGATTGGTGTTTAAAAGACACTTTTAATCCCGGTTTTCACCAACGTTATATTTTGATCTTAGAAATCTTCTTTTGTCTCTTTTTAAGCGCAATATTAGAAAGATGCACAAGATAAATTAAACCAACGATAAGGTCAAAGTTGAACCAACGTTGGTGAAAACTGGCGTAAATCATGCAATATGAATAGTTTATTTTTCTTTTTTTCCTTTTCCTAGTTTGAATTATATATTAAATATCTGCTCGTAAGGAAAATCTTTAGTGTGCAAGTTGCTTATTTTTTGTTTTTATAATGTACACGTGATAATTTACATAAAATATGTAATTGTTCACGAGTGAACCTAAAGATGGAAAAGTGACAATTTCCGCCTTTATCTTCGACAACGTATCTTTTCTTTAAACTGAGCGCAATGTCAACAGACAATCGTACGTCGTCGAGATGAGATGCAAAGGGAATTTTTCAAGGGATACGTCGGGAAAGGGCGTACATCTTTCGTTCAGATGCTATTATAAAGGCGAAAGAATGAGTCATCCTTGTTTTTTCCCCCGTGACGACGTACATATCTTCTGATCGGATATCAAATGATTAGAATTATAATTTTATATGATACATAAACATGTTATATGTCGTAACGGCTTTGATGCGAGCTTAGATAATCGTCAATATGCGTCGAGACGTAGCAACGAGCTGTAAAGCGCGAAATGTACGGTTGTAATATACACGAACTGACTAGTAGCTCGCGATCGCGCCCCCATTGTATCGTCTTATGGTATTGTAACTTGCAGGATCCTAAGTCAGAGAGTCCACTCATCTTTCATCGTAACGCGTGATGTATTATATGACTACGTATTGTGTAATCTCGAAATAAGATTTGTAGTTTTCATTCATGATGTAAGTGTTTGCGAGCCGCGTGAAGGCGATCTCGGCAAATATCTTGTGTATACCTTAACGCATAAGTATAGTTTCGGTTTACATTCGTTGAGAGGTTTGAATAAGAAGAAAAGAGGGAACGCAATGGCAGGAATATATGTAAAATCGTGCGTGATTCCTCGGACCGAAACAATACGAACGTGAATAAGTTAGACCCGCCATCTAAATCGGATCGTTCAGCTTTGAGAAGTAAACGCTAACCGAATAAATCTAACTTGTTTATATTTGTATTGTTACATATTCTTGGCCTATGTAATATATTCTTAGAATAAAATCTCGTCAAAGATCCTGTAGATTGAGAGTCTAGGCGAAAGGTCGATCGTTGGAACCAATCAAAAAGTCCAGTCCCATCGATGACATTCTACATCTACGTTCCTAAAATTCTTCACTTGACAATTCGCGTATCCAAGGATATGTTCCGGGGCTCGATCGCAAAGACAGGACTCCGGAAGTGCACAATATCGTATTTCAATTCGTTTGTTCGAGCATCCAGTTTTCTGTACATATAAAACATCTTGTTTACTCCAGATTTATTCAACGTCGACAGAAATCTAAGTTTGGTATAATGTCCACTTCTAATGCAGTCTAACTTTTTATCTCAGTTTACTTTACTTTTCAATTCTTAGGCCTGGTTTCACCTACGTCGCTTAACTTTAAGCTCAGCATAAGGGCCTGAGCAGAATGGCTGTCTTGTACTCTTAAGACGGTCTTAAGACAATGTTTTATGTTTTAAGCCTTTGTCTTGAGGTAACGCACAATAATTGTCTTAAGAGTACAAGACAGCCAGTCTGTTCAAGCCCTAAGGACCTGAGCGGAAAGACTGTCTTGTATTTCTCTTAAGACAATGTTTTATGTTTTACATCTTTGTCTTAAAGTAACGTACAATAACTCTTGTGACTTAAGAATACAAGACAGCCATTCTGCTCAGGCCCTAAGAGAGTACAAAGACTGCCCAGCTAAAAGAAACGAAGTTATCGTAAGGACCTGAGCAGAGTGGCTGTCTTGTACTCTTTAAGACAGCGTTTCATGTTTTACATCTTTGACTTAAAGTAACGCACAATAACTGTTTTATGACTTAAGAATAGAAGACAGCCAGACCCTTACGCACAATAACTCTTATCTTAAGAGTACAAGACAACTATTCTGCTCCGGTCCTAATTCGTTCTCTGTCTCTGTCCAACTTACTTTCGAAGGAGACAAATATGAATGAAACTAACGAAGATTAAAGTTAAGCGACGTTTGGTGAAACCGAGCCTTAGAACTAGAGAAGAAAATGACAAGAACGTTAAATTAAAGATGATCTGCATTGATGGAACTGGGCGTAAGTCAGTTTTTTGTCTCGTTATTCGACAGGAAGTACGAACGCCGTGACAGTCTTTTCGGACACCGCGTATACAGTCGACCACGGGTGACGTGTCGCTTGCGCGTAGACACTGGACACCTCGTCGCGCCCAGTCGCTTCATTAAGTAGACAATGCACGCGGAATGTTTATCGCGCTTGCAACCGGAAGCTCCGGGGGAAGGGCCGATCTATCGGGAGGCGAAGCCGAGAATGCAGATATGATACGACGGCCGCCCACGCTCTTCTAGGAGACAAAAGCGAGCGGCGGCGCCGACGGAAGGCCATTCTGCATGTAGGATTCTCGGGCACGCACGCACGTCTCAGGTGCATCGACCCCGATTCGGTTCCACGCTGTCAACCGGGAAGGAACTGGTAAGGGACCTCGGTGCTGTTAAACGCGAGGCAACCGCGTCGGCCTCCGAAGACGGGAGGGGCGTAAAGCCTGTTTCTACAGTGCGCTCCTCGCGTCCAGCAACATTCCGTCTTGTGTGGCCAGCGAGTGCGTTTAACGAGCTGGCGCGAGTTGAATGACAAGCCGCACGGTCCGCGCATTGTCGCCGATTTCCTCAGGCGTTTCGACTCGCTCGTACAAAACGGAATGTTTCCAGACAGGTTAAGGCTCGCGCGCCGACGGTGCTCGGACCTGGGTCTCGCAGGAGCGGCGTGCCGCTGTTTAAAACGTTATCGCCGCTGTTAACAGGTGTCAAAGCCGTCCGATACGCGGAGGCGCTCCGGTGTGTGCGTGCCATGTGCACGGCACGCGGGCGTGTGCGCTCCCTCCCCCTACTGTCCCCCCGGCCGCGCGCGTGGACGGAAATTCAAAAAGTACGCACCTCATTAGCGATGTCAAGAGATTAGGGCGATTAAGTCCCCGGCTGTTATCAGCCTCGTGCCGATGTGACCGATTATTTGCCCGCTGCGAACGAGGGTGCCTCGTTCACGCTGATTGCCGGCGAGAGGAGGTGAGTAGAGGCGGAGAGCCGTGTCCGGCGGCTGTTTATTTACATATTTACGTGACGCGTCGGCGAGAACGCGGTTGGGAATCGGAGCGCCGTTTCTCAATCGTGCGTTTCGCAATCGTACCGGAGGCCTTGTTTGCGGCCTCGGCGGTCCCGAGATACGGAATAAGAACCGTGCGTATATGCGATCTCGCTTTATCGCGGCGCGCCTCGCGCGGCGATTACGGATCTTTTATCTCTCACGTTGCCCGAGATGCGATCGTTACGTGCGAAATGCAAGTTTCAGGGCTCTTCGAGCATCACTGACGCGCCTGTCGGACTGAGCACGCCGTCGAGGAACGATATCCTGCGAGGATGGGCCAAACCGCGGAAGGCGACAACGGTGGGAGTGGAAACGACAAGCGGGCTGAGAGCAACGCACAGCATAATGAAGGGTACGGAGTTGTTTCCCATGAATTATCAGAGAGAGAGATAAGATTGCTGAGAGATACTTGGATCTAATTTGTTGGAATTAACTCGTAAGGTATAATGACCCCTTTTGATCCTCCCGTAGATCTTTGGAGCCCGACAGGCAACAGCAGTCACTGCTACCAAAGGCGAGCGGCAGTACAGCGAGACAAGTTAGAGAATACATCCCGAGGTCTGGGATGAAGAAGTACAATCATGCTTTGAGCAACCTGATACCGATACGGCAACAAGATCAGTACGTATCGTCAAGTCGGAGTTCCGAAATAATCTCTCTATGACTTCAAGATGTTCGCAAGTTACAAAATATACCACTCGATAATGTCAAGATGCAAAAAGGGCAGTGAGGGTAAAGCATCTGAAGGACAGATACCACTTGTGATATACGTTTCGACTCTGCTTGCAATCGGCAGACGTTGAACTTTCGGTCAAGAAATGAACGTCTCTTTGGCCGGCGAATTGAAAAGCTTGCACTGAATGGACCAACAATGGAATTCATATTTATGGCGCTGATGATGGCTTTACATAGAGTCCAAATGTGTGCCACAAGTGATCGTAATCGGTTCGATATGATTGCCCAGATAGTGCAAGACACTCCTATGAACATTTTAAGAATATTCTTCAAGAATGTTTAGTATAACAGGAAAAATCTTCAGGGTCGCCAGCAGTAATTAACATCAAATTTGTTTTACCGCATCTGGCAAGTTTAATGTTTAAGCATCGCTACGTTTCGACCATGGCTTTTGGTCCTTTTCAAGCGATCTGAGATTGTCATGCTCCGAGGTCTCTCAAGTAATGTTCTCGTGTAGCAAACTCCGACACAAAAAATTTTTATAGCATTATGCGATTATAACGGCAATCCTTTCTACATCACCAAAGTACATGCGAGTCTATGTACTATCTCAGATTGCTTGAAAAGAATCGAAACCCATGGTCGAAACGTAGCGATGCTTAAACATAAAAATTGCCAGATACGATTAAACAAATTTAATGTTGTTAATATTTAGAATATTCCACAGGTCATTCTTATATATTTGTCTTATGTTCGTGGAATATTCGACTGGCACTACTATAAATCTTTTAACGTTCTTCTTTGCCATGAATATACGATTTCTAAGTGTAATAATCTATGTATATTTATAGAATATTCGATTCGAATATTCTGAAATTAAAATTGCACTCCAGAATTTGCACTCCAGAAGAATATTCATAGAACTATGTGTGCTACCTGGGTGATTGAAGACACAAGTACTAGCTGCACTTTACTCTCGTTGCCTTTTGTTTTCTGAGACTGATATGTATTTAATAAAATGTACCATTACATTTTACCTACATACAAGATCACCGTACTGATAAAAATACGCTTTACAGGAAGAAGGAGAATTCACCGGCAGATAACGCCGGGTTGTTTTCTTATGTATATATCACGTGGATGACACCATACTTATGGAAAGCGTACAAGAAGGGTCTTACGATAAAAGACTTGCCGGATATCTCAGTATACGATACTTGCGAGTACAATGCACTCAGGTAAACATGATATGTCGCCGTGAGCGTAGTTCCAGTGCAAGTGGCAATTATTTCTTTTAGACTCGACGTACTGTGGCAGCAGGAGCTCAGTCAAAACGGCCCGAATGCAGCATCCTTTTCCACGGTTGCGTGGCGATTTGTACGCACACGAGTTTACGTATCGTGCGTCTTATTGACCTGTTCTCTTATCTTTGGATTTATCAGTCCCGTAAGATGATTCCGCGTCAACAACAAATTGTTATTAGATTGCACCTTCCTGTTGTGATAGAGAATTTTCTGCTAGACGATAATAATGAGGAAAATATTGGAGCACGTGCAGTCTCCGGAGGAGAACTTTTGGGACGGTTTCAAATGGGTTGTTCTACTGACGGTGTGCGATTCTCTGCGAGCTTTCTTCTTCACCTGGACGTGGAATATGAACTACAAGACTGGATTACGGCTGAAGTCGGCATGCACGACCCTGTTGTACAAGAAGATCATGCGATTGAATAGCCTCGGCAATAAAAGTATAGGAGAAGTGAGATGCTCGACCTGCTTCGTAAATCTATAAACGCAACGAGGGTGCTTTCCCGACGTAGTGATATGCGGATTCTTATTTTTAGGTGATCAGTTTATTCTGCAACGACAGTCAAAGGCTTTTCGATGTCATCATTTACGGGCCGATGATTATCAGCGGACCGATAGTTATAACTTGCGGTATAATTTATGTATTGTGGTTGTTCAATCCCATCGCTCTGGTAGGAATGATAGCGTTTCTCTCGTTTTACCCGTGCCAGGTAAATAACTCGTTGCATACGCGTTTTGTTTTTTACATATTTCGACAAACAAAGCATTGTCTGTATTTCAGTACTTTATCTCCCGCGCGACTGGCTACTTTCGCGCGAAGTCGGTAAATATTACGGACGCTCGAGTGCGACTCATGGGTGAGATTCTGGAATGCATAAAATTGATCAAGATGTATTCCTGGGAGAAGTATTTCGGCCAGAAACTTCTCGGTGAGAATAATATAATGGAAAATTAAAAAGTTATATTTTATACAAGTAACTGGAATAGAAATTACTCAAGACAATGTGGTTAAAAGTAGAATTATATTTATTTCTATATATAATTTTTTGTTAGAAAGATACACATATTTGATGAATTGATGTGCTTTTGCAGCTATACGCAAGAAGGAGGAACGATGGCTTCATAAGACTGCTTATTTTCAAAGCCTTAGCATTTCTCTAACGCCCGCTATACCTGTGATATCCGCGATCATCACGTTTCTAGCGCACATTGCCTCGGGCAGTGGGTTAACGGCCGCGCAGGTATAAAATACAATCTATCAATACAATTTCTGACTTTCGAAATATTATATTTTTATAAACATCCTAATTTTATGTGTCAGGAGAAATTGAATAACGTCCAGTAGGTAAGCAGTTCGATAAGACGATAAAGTTTTTCCCCTAGAGTAGAGAATAGAGTTTATAATCTTCGTTATAATTCCTTTCTGGACTTTCACGATCAATGGATTACCTTACAGGCTTTCCCAATGACCACGTTATTTGGAAATTTGCTTAGACTGGCACTCACGTCACTTAAGGATACCACGCGATATTTTATGAGCGCCCTCGTAGCGCTTAGAAGATTCAAGGTCTCCAGTGTTTTTTGAACGATTTCATGCACTTGCTTAACAAACCGGATATCCGTACCTATTATTAAGGAAGCCAGTTCTCGTGTCCAATAAGTTCAATCTCGCGTGAATCTATTTTTATACATTTCTTGCTAAGATTATATTAAAATACGAACGAACTGAACGACTTCGGTCTAAAACTCGTTGAATTTCACCGTGCGAAGTCGATTAAAGATACTCGATCATCGTGACAAAATTATGACAGAAAAGTCTCTAAAAAGAAATTGGAGAAAAAGCAACACGAGTACTGTTTCTATAATAATACGCACTTAAGGTCAATGTCGTTTTTAATGTAAAAAGTATAAGCTTTCTAAAAAGACGAGAGTGATGGGCAAACACTGCATGCCTTGTAAAGCACCCTGTTACATTTGGACAGCCGTCGGCGATTCTCTTGGTAGATCGAATTGTCAGTTGTTAATAATATCGATTTAGGGGTGTGATGTTCCCACGGTTACGCGTGGTACGAATTGTACTAACATGGTCATTTTGATTCTACACTTTTCAGGTATTTCCCTTCGTATCGGTGCTCAATGCTCAAATTCGTACCTCTTTCATGTTTTTACAAGTGGCCTTAATTAATATCGCTGCAGTAAAGATAACTTTTGGCAGAATGAAGGTGTTTATTCTTGTTTATATCTAGGAACGCACAATCGACTGCACTATACATACACGTTGTGTCGTAACGTTTCGGACAACTAACGTTTTCACCTTTCAAATGTAACCCGAATAATAATCTGGCTTTTATTTTTGCTACTAAAACCGTTTGCCTATCGCTTCGCTTGTATTACGTAGCAATTGCGCTCACAATCAGATTTACTCAGAAAGCAAGTATATCGCTGTACAAATTTGTACTTTTAGTTTTACAAATTAATTTCGCTTTTAGCATCGCTAAGCGTACCCACTGCATATCTTTATCTTATTTTCCTACAATTAGTTTTTACATATTTACGCTTGTTTGCTTTTAACGTGCTTCTAACAATGGCGTTTCTTCAAAGATTTATTAAATAGCTAATCCGATTAACAAGGTGATATTTGCACAGAGCATATTGCTGCTGGACGAGGACAGTTGCCAGGCGTCGAAACCGATTGTAAGATCGCAAGCGGTTGCCATTGCTAACGGCACCTTCGTTTGCGACAGCATAAAGCTTCAAACGGATGCGTCCTTTGACAACAAGAAAAAGTAAATATTATCTCTATATAATAATCATCGTAATTCCTCCCGAACAGGCCGTAATAACTGTTTTTCACGTAGGAAGAAATTACCACCAGCCGCGGACAACCCGCTGGAATTGGAAAGCCTGAATCAACCGACGCAAGAAGCCAAGTACGTCGAAGTTCTCAGCGACGTGCATTTCGGAGCGCCCAAGGGAAAGCTGGTCGGTATCTGCGGCCAAGTAGGCAGCGGCAAGTCCAGTCTACTGCTAGCAGCTTTGGGACAGCTGAGGATTACGAAGGGACACATCCTGAGGGAGGGCACTTGCGCCTACGTCAGCCAACAGGCGTGGATCGTGAATGGCACCTTCAAGGAGAACATTCTCTTTGGCGAGGAGTTCGACGCGAAACGTTACTATCATACGATCACAATTTGCAACCTGAAGGAAGACTTGAACATGTTGCCGGGAGGAGACGACACCGAGATCGGCGAGAGGGGCGTCAATCTGTCCGGAGGACAGAAGCAGAGAGTCGCGCTGGCGCGAGCGTATTATGCCAATCGGTGCGCAAAAACTCTGCTCTTTCCCTTTTGATAAGTACATTGTAAATTTGCTGAATGGAATATCAATTGTATCTGTCGTTTCAGGGACATTTACTTTCTCGATGATCCTTTGAGCGCGGTTGACGCGTACGTCGGCTCGTATATATTTGAGAAATTGTTCCTCGAAGCTCTTAGAAACAAATCTGTTATTTTCGTGACACATAACATTCAGGTAGGTATAAATCATTGGAATTGATCCCAAAATATTTAATACATATATAAATGTACCTTATAATTAATAATGAAACTCTAGAATTTTTCCGATTAATTTTTTTATTTTTTCAAATTACATTAAAAATAATTTCATATTGTATTTTCAAGATATTTCTCATATATTGCTTTATTTTGGTATAAAGAGACTCGACAAAATATGGTTTTGAGAAACTGATGTTTATTAGGCTTTCACAATATTAATATATTTGTCACAGTTTTTAAAACGTTGTGATGAAATCTACATGATGAGTGCGGGCAAGATCGTAGAGCATGGAACCCACGAAGAACTGATGCGACTCGACAGGGAATACGCCTCGATGGTGAAGAACAGCACGGTTGTAACGGAAGATAATTTATCAGCGTACGTTTAATTATACATTGCACGTATTCTTCGCAAGCAGTTTACAATCAGCCTTCGCTTCTTCGCAGTGTTAAATCTACGGGAGTGGCGCAGAGAAATATCGACGAGTCGGAAATGCGAAAGACGGAATCCGCGCACAAGGAAAATGATGGAAAAGAGAAATTGCACAAAGGTGCGCGCGTTTGGTTGTGTAATATCCTCTGATTTGGGGACACACTTCTAATAATTGTTTCTTTCAAATAGGAACAGCTTTAACAGTGGCAGAAAAGTCTGAGACCGGATCTGTCAAGTCGTACACTTATCACACATATGTACAAGCTACCGGCGGTTATTTGGTCGCTATTCTCGTATTTTTTACATTTTTCTTGAACGTAGGCAGTTCGGCCTTCAGTACTTGGTGGCTCGCTGTGTGGATTAAAGCTGGAGGAGGCGTAAGTAACTCGTATACTCAATATATTTAAAATACACACTTTAATAGCATCTATTTCTATTTTTATTATTTCCTATCATTAGATATTTTAATAGTAATCTTTGTTATTGCTTAGTTTTTCGAGTTTTAATATTATTATCGTCACACGGATCAATTTCATTCATTTTCACTTATTTTCAGAACGTGACTGTGTCAGGAAGTAACGATACGGTGTATTCGGAGAACATAAACGCCAATCCTGACTTCTCGTTTTATCGAGATATATACGGTGCCTGTATCGCCGGTATACTATTGACAAGTTTTATTCGTGGCCTAGTCATTATGTTTGCCACGATTAAAGCCTCGACTACATTGCACAATACGTTTCTTCACAAAATCATTAATTCTCCGCTGAGCTTCTTCGAAACTACTCCAAGTGGTAGAATACAAAACGTTTTCACTCGAGACATAGACGAGAGTGAGTGATCCTTCAATAATCCCAAACACATGCGTTGTCGCGAATCAATACGTATAATCTAATTTAATTGATACTTCCTGGTTTACAGTTGATAATTACTTGCCCATATCAATAGAGAACATGGTGCAAAATATCTTTACTTGTAGCTTTGCTATTTTCTTTATCTGCGGCGTATTGCCATGGTTTTCGATACCGTTACTTCTGTTTGGCGTATTGTTCTTCTTTGTCGGTAAACTGTTTAGGTAAATATCCTGAAACATCGCATAATTTACATATATAATTTACGATCGACGATTTCTTCTCATCCCCGCAGAATAGGAATGAGGGATCTGAAAAGAATGGACAATGTCTCGCGGTCTCCTGTTTTGAGTTTCGTCACAACGTCGATCCAAGGTTTGAGCACAATTCACGCGTTTCAAAAGGAGAAGAATTTCTTATACAGGTAATTATTCGGCGAAACGACTGCGTCGTGAGTGAAATAACAAGAAGGGAATATGACGATTGAACTGTTTCTCATCGACAGATTCGAGGAATTGTTCAACACGAATAACTTGTGTCAGCACCTGTGCCAAGCCGCGATGAGATGGTCCGCGGTGAGGCTGGATAGTTTGGTGATTGCCTCATCCTGCATAACCGCGTTGCTCGTGATCTCCTTCAAGAATGAGATATCGCCGGCCTTTGCCGGTCTGGCTATGGCGTATGCCACGCAGATGACCGGCGTCTTCCAGTATACGGTCAGACTGATGTCCGAGACGGAGGTGCGCTTCATAAGCGTGGAGAGAATCAGTTACTACCTCAAGGTACTTTATTTCCGTTTAACTGATAATTCTGTGAATATAAAGTTGTCAATTCTTTGACTAATCTCGTTTCCTTCTTATTCAGACTTTGCAGAGGGAAGGCGCTAGCAGGACGGTCGCTCTTAAACCAGCCGACGATTGGCCTTCTCGAGGCAAAATAGAGTTCAAAGCTGTTCAGATGAGATACAGAGAGGAGTTGCCGCTCATACTGATCGACGTCACGTTTAACATAAAGGCCGGAGAGAAAATTGGTAACGAACATTTCCTCGACTCGTTTGTTGCGCTTTCTCAAGCGAGAGTTTAATTGTTACTTATTTTAGGCATCGTGGGTCGCACGGGATCCGGCAAAAGCTCCCTGGTCGTAGCTTTGTTCCGACTAGTCGAGATTTGCGAGGGCATGATCAAGATCGACGGTATCGATATTTCGAAATTGGAGTTGGATGTGTTGAGAAGTAAATTGTCGATCATTCCTCAGGACCCAATTTTATTCAGCGGCACTATAAGGTAATGAATTTAATTGGCAATTTTTGTTAGCCGCTCCCTTCAATCGATTCGCTTTTCAGATCTAATTTGGATCCCTTCCAACAGCATGCCGATAGCGACATTTGGAGTGCCCTTGAAAAGACTCAGATGAAAGATAAGGTATCTCTTATGTCAGGAAATCTCGACGCTTCCGTTGGATTTGGCGGAAACAATTTGAGCGTCGGCGAAAGACAGCTTCTTTGTCTTTCAAGAGCTTTATTACATAGTACAAAGGTAACACTTTGATCTCTGCAATATTACATATATTAAAAATTGACTTTCGGACCTTCTTTCGAGTGTTGAGATTAATATTGATGGCTACACTGAATTCATCGTTTTATAGGTGCTTATTCTGGATGAAGCCACTGCCTCCGTTGATCCGGAAACCGAAGCGACAGTGCAGAACACGCTGCAGAACGAATTCGCGGATTGTACTGTACTTACGATCGCTCACCGATTGCAAACGGTCGTCACGTGTGATCGTATTCTCGTGATGAGCGAGGGCAAGGTGGTCGAATTTGACGCGCCCGCCGCACTTCTCTCTCGTCCGGATTCCGAATTTTCGAAACTGATGACCGCCGCGGACGAAAACGCGTAAAATAATCTTCGCAGAGATCTGAATCGCGATCGCAATGCACTTTAATCGTGTTTTATCAGTAAGTGATAAAACTAATTACACTAACTCTCAGAGTCACATGAGTAAGAGGAAGAAAAGAACAAGAACAGCAAAGAAATAAATTGAATGAATGATTGTATTTTTCTATTAATAAGTTACTAAATTATTAATTAAAGATTAAAACTATGTTCTCTCATAAGTTCGTATATATCTGTATGAATAAAAAAGAAGACAAGAAAATCGTCCCATCTTCTCCATCTTTTTACATCTATTTAATCATTCGACAATTTATTTGTTATAATAATTTAATTTTTACTGAGTTATACTGGTTGCATATAAGTTGTATTTTTTAGGTACACTGAAAATCATATATCAAACGTTTGTATCTTAAAATTAACATTTTGCGACAGATATTACATGGTAACATCTGTTAATTTGGCGATGAGAGGATTAATTTAATTAAACGGGGATATCTTTTACGCAAAATTGAACGGATAACTGCGTTAAAAGTTACAATTTCTGGAAATTCGCGCCCTTTGGAATAGTGAAATATTGATTTTCTCACTGGAGGTGGAGAGCGCACACTGCTCATGCCCGTTCGCTCGGACTTTCGGCCGTGCTGGCGACACAGCCGAAACATGTTCACCGCGACATTGCCAGCTTGTTATTACCTCTGAGATGTTTATTACATGTTGAGCTTTATCGTTGCTTTATATCGAGATGTAGTCTATAGAAATTGCCGTAAAGGCAGTGTCCGTCGTTCTGTGAACAGCTAAAAGAAAGGTAAATCCCTCGGCGATGCACGAACAACACATCGTCCTTCGTAAACATGAGCTACTCTTAAGTAGATTAGATTTCTCTTTAATCATTATTTCACTTTAAATATCAAATTATTATTTTACGCTATGCTTCAAACGTGCAGATCGTTTATACTTTAACTTTTATACATATAATATGTGTCTTCTATTTCTGGAAATTGTATGTGTATTAATAAATTATCATATAAAAAGTTTAAAATTCTATGTACATGCATTACTAATCTAACAATACGCATGTTTTAAAGTAGTTTATAAAATATTTCGAATGTAGAAGTAACAAGAATAGATGGAATGTATAATTACCGATTGAATTTAGTTTCTAGTAATTGTTTTTATTGTATAGAATGACGTCCAATTTTGATCCCAACTTTCCGTTCCCTACTTCTAGGCCTCACCATTGCGAACATAATCCCTATTATGATGCTGGGGCGGAAGCAGAGCCTCAAGGGGGAACCCGTCCTGGCCGATTACGGTCCGGAGGAGTCCCTCAATGAGAGCGCTGACATAGAGTGGGTCAACAAGGTGAGCGGAAGCATGGATCGACCCGGGGGAATTGCCCGAATCCGAAAAGTACCGTTTTTCCCTTTTCTCAGATCCTTTCTAAAAACCGCTTTACTTATGATTTCAGTTATGGGTGAGGAGGTTGATGCGATTTTGCGCCCTGGTCTCGTTGGCTTCCGTTTGCTTGAACACCCCGAAGACATTTCAGAAAGTACCGTCCCTCCGATACGTTACCTTTATTTGCGATTTGATAGTCACGTTTCTGTTCACCGCCGAGATGATCGCGAAGATGCACATACGGGGAATACTGAAGGTGAAGTCTTTAATCAAGGAGGATATGATTGAGATGTCTGATCGCTTCGAGGAGCAATTAAATTTTTTTTTTATTAAATTTTAACATAAAGAATACAACTTTTGTGCTATTGGACAGAAGTGAAATGGTTAATGGCATTGCAGAGAGATAAGTCTTATTTGAAAGACCACTGGTGCCAATTCGACGCAAGTATGGTGATCTTCCTTTGGTTATCCGTGATCCTGCAAATGTTCGAGATGCTGGGTTTCCTTATAAAGTCTAGTATCGCTTCGATCATGCGTGCACCACGGCCGTTGATCATGATACGCTTCCTCCGAGTCTTCCTCAAGTTTTCAATGCCCAAAGCCAGGATCAATCAGATTTTCAAGTAAGAAAAATTGCACCGGCAACTAGTACAAGAATTGTGTCGAGATAGAAACAAGCAACTATTGACAATTTAATTTAATATTTGATTACTAACAATATAATTTGTGTTTAGACGTTCGAGCCAACAGATCTACAACGTGACGCTTTTCTTCCTGTTCTTCATGTCTCTTTACGGCCTCCTGGGCGTGCAATTCTTCGGCGAGCTGAAAAATCACTGCGTGCTGAACACAACCGAGCCCAATTACATCACGATCAACAGCCTGGCTATTCCCGATACGTTCTGCTCCACCGATCCAGAATCCGGATATCAATGCCCCGAAGGAATGATGTGCATGAAACTGGAATTGACCAAATATATCATAGGCTTTAATGGATTTGATGAGTTTGGTACTAGTTAATGTTAATGTTATACCCCTATCGTTCCTCTGCGCTTCGAATCTATCACCTCCCGTATATTATTTTTCTAAAAATATGTTTTAAAATGAATTCATTTTCTGGAACATTTGTTGTAACTGAATGAAGCTACAACAAATACACTTCTTTCTACATTTTACATCCTATATTTTGTATTCTTGTGTAATAATTGTTATATCATAATAATTACAATAGCTTTAAACTTGTAAAATTACAAATTATAATTTATCGAGTACAATTTTATCGAAACATGTTAAATTTAACACTTTCCTTTAAAAAATGCAAGGACTTAATCTTCATATACAGCATTTATCCATTAAAATATTAAAATTTCATTGCAAGTTTTATCCGTGACTTTAATATTCTGAACTTGGATTATTTAGCTACCAGTATCTTCACCGTGTACCAAGCAGCTTCTCAGGAAGGATGGGTCTTCATCATGTATCGCGCGATTGACAGTCTACCTGCGTGGCGCGCGGTTCTTTACTTCAGCACGATGATATTCTTTCTGGCTTGGTTAGTAAAGAACGTTTTCATTGCCGTCATCACAGAGACTTTCAACGAAATCCGAGTGCAGTTCCAACAAATGTGGGGCGTCAGAGGACACATTAGCAACAGTTCGGCATCGCAGGTCGGTTGTACTAAAACGTATTTCTGAAGAAACATCCTTTAGTTTAAAATATCTCTAATGAAAAATATATACGCGCCATTATTTAATTTTAGGTGAACAGCGATTTTACTGATAAATGATGTATACATTTATCTTGTTAATTATCTTATTATTGCAGATACTGACCGGAGATGACAATGGTTGGAAATTAGTGACATTAGACGAGAATAAGCACGGGGGCTTAGCCTCCCCGCTCTGTCACACTATCCTCAAGTCGCCGCATTTTCGCTCGGTGGTAATGTGCGCGATTCTAGCGAACGGTGTCACCACCGCGACGATGAGCTTTAAGCATGACGAGAAACCGAGGCATACGTACTACGACAATTATTACTGGGCCGAAATCGTCTTCACGATATTGCTGGACCTAGAGACCATCTTCAAGATATGGTGCCTGGGCTTCCGGAGTTACTATAAGCATTCGATTCACAAGTTCGAACTGCTGCTTGCCATTGGCACGACTATACACATTCTTCCGTTCTTCTATCTCTCTGGATTCACTTACTTTCAGGTTTCTACCTTTATCTGACTCGTCGTCTTTCGCGTCGCTTCATTTTCTGCATTTTTTTTCTACGAGTCTATGCCTTTTGCAGCTTGTCGTTCTTAAACTCTCACAACTGTTGTGTTTTTATACTTTTAAAAATTGAAACATTCGAACAATACCTTTAATTTGTCATCGTATATTTTTATACGAAAAGGTTCTCAGAATGGTCCGGCTCATTAAAGCGTCACCGATGTTGGAGGACTTTGTCTACAAGATTTTTGGTCCCGGCAAGAAGCTCGGCAGCCTCATTATCTTTACCATGTGCCTGCTGGTGATATCCTCCAGTATTTCCATGCAGCTCTTCTGTTTCCTCTGCGACTTTACCAAGTTTGAAACCTTCCCCGAGGTGAGCCACTTATTTTCCACCTTCAGCAAATCGTTATCACACGCGACTGTTTCTTACTCAAAATATAAATTTCCAGGCGTTTATGTCTATGTTCCAAATTTTCACGCAAGAAGCCTGGGTCGACGTGATGGATGAAACTATGTTACGAACCCACGAGACGGTAGCACCGCTGATTGCAGTGTACTTCATTTTGTACCATCTCTTCGTCACATTGGTAACCATCGTCCAATATCTTCTTTGTGCGCTATGAGCTATGGCCTTAATTTAATGCTAAATTGTCCCTTTAGATCGTGTTGAGTCTTTTCGTCGCAGTAATTCTCGACAATCTCGAACTGGACGAGGATATTAAGAAACTGAAGCAATTGAAATTTCGCGAACAAAGTGCCGAAATAAAGGAGAGCTTGCCGTTCAGATTGAGAATATTCGAAAAGTTCCCAGACAGTCCACAAATGACGTGTCTTCACAAAGTGCCATCAGATTTCAATTTACCGAAGGTAAAGATTCGTGAATAACTAACTCCTTGGTTTAATAAATTTAATAAATTCTAATTAATATTAAACTTGGATTTGTAAATATGAAATTTATTTTAATTTTCGTTTTAATGGATTTTAACTTTGTTCTAGAGATAAATCTTTGAATCTTACGCCTTCAAGATTATAGTTTTGTTGAAGAAATAGGTCTTCAAATCTTACCTTTTTCAGATTGTAAAACAATTTGCTTAATTTTTTTATTCAATGGATTGAATTAGTATTTTATATTCGAATTAACATTGCTTATCTTTTTTAAGGTGCGAGAGAGCTTTATGCGACAATTCGTGCTTGAAGTCGAGGACGAAGAAAACGAAGGTGCAAAGAGAACTAACGAAACTTTCGACTCGAAAATAGTGTATAGGAAGCAACGACCGGTGAAGATCTTAAATAATCCTCCAAAGGTGAGAAGCGTCGTTACTAATCTGAAGAAAGCGTCCGTTATTTATATCATAAAGTAAGTAAAATATCATTCACTATTAGAATCTGAGTAGAGTGGCTGTCTTGTACTCTTGAGACTCAGTTATTGTGCATTACTTTGAGGCGAAGATTTAAAACATAAAATATTGTCTTAAGAGTACAAAGCAGCCATTGTGTTCAGGCCCTAACATTTCACGAAGTTTTCGTCTTGATTTTTAAGTTTTCCTGCATTACAGCGATTCCAATAATCAAAGGCTTCTTCTGGGAGACTCCGCCATGATTCCAGTACCAGGAAAGGGACTTCTAAAACCGCAGGGTACTGTGAGTGGCGCCAAGCAGCTTCGCATTGATCCGAAAAAGTAAGAAAGAGACAGACGTATCTGTTAAGAAAAGAATCCAAGGAGAATTTCAATTTATAAACTTGAAAATTAAAGAAATGGGACAATTTAGTGATCCAATAACAGTTTTCTAGATCGTCATTAATTAAATTCAGATATTCTTTAATACGATATTATAAAGAAGTTAATTATTTTGTGCTTTCACATTTATTTATCTTGTACTTTCTATTTGCGTATAAAAACCAGATCAATCAGAAGGAGCGTTCGAAGCGGATCGATCAAGCTCAAACAGACGTACGAGCATCTGATGGAAAACGGTGACATAGGGGGAATGAACAGAGTCAGTTCGTCGAGCAGGAGACCGCACGATTTGGACATCAAGTTGTTGCAAGCTAAGAGGCAACAGGCGGAGATGCGAAGGTATCGAGATTACATCGTGATTTCTGGGATTTACATAATCTTACACAATCTATTCTTTCTTCCATTCCAGAAATCAACGCGAAGATGATTTGCGAGAGAACCATCCGTTCTTCGACACGCCGTTATTCGCGGTACCTCGCGAGAGCAAATTCCGGAAATATTGCCAGCTGTTCGTCTACGCGAGATACGACGCGAGATTGAAGGATCCTTTGACGGGCAAGGAAAGGAAAGTGCAGTATAAAAGTCTGCAGTAAGTAACATGAAATTCAAATATATTGTCCCATCGTGATGAATCAAAGTGGTTGGCCGAGTTGGTAAATTCTACATCTCTTTTTTTTTCCAGCAATTTCCTCGGTTTAGTGACCTATCTCGACTGGGTGATGATATTCATCACGACGCTGTCGTGCATCTCGATGATGTTCGAGACACCGCGAAAGCGCGTGATGGAGACACCGGCGTTGCAGATCACCGAATACTGCTTCGTTATTTGTATGAGCATCGAACTTGCATTAAAGATCCTGGCGGACGGTCTGTTTTTTACACCTAAAGCGTACATCAAGGATGTTGCCTCCGTACTAGATGTCTTCATTTACATTGTACGTCTAATTTGTTGGGATAAAACTTTGCTCTACTACAAAGTATTTCATTTCATTATATATATATATATATATATATATATAATGAATGATATTTAATAATTACAACATGTTATGTGATAATTCTATGCATATACAATGTAATAACGCATGTGCACGTTGTTGCAGGTGAGTCTCGTTTTCTTATGCTGGATGCCGAAGAGCGTGCCAGCGAATTCTGGAGCGCAGCTACTGATGATATTACGATGCGTCAGACCGCTTAGAATTTTCACCCTTGTACCGCACATGAGAAAAGTCGTTTACGAATTGTGCCGAGGATTCAAAGAAATTTTGCTGGTAAACTCTGCTGTTCTTGCTTTGAATTTTAGATGCATTATTTCGAGAAATGATTCATAAATGTGGACGTAACGTTAGAAATTAATGGACAAATAACACTTTATTCAGGTATCGACATTACTGTTCCTGTTGATGTTCATGTTCGCGAGTTACGGAGTGCAACTGTATGGCGGTCGATTAGCGAGGTGCAATGATCCCACGATCTTGAAGCGCGAGGAGTGCGTCGGTGTATTTATGAGAAGAGTATTTGTGACGAAGATGAAGCTGCGGCCGGGAGAAAACGAGAGTTATCCGTCCATATTGGTACCGCGTGTTTGGTAAGCATAAATCGTGCAATTCTCAAGCTTTTTCTTTCATCACATTAGTTCTACTTTATTGTAAACATTTCTAACGCGAGGATGCAACGCTTATACTCGTCGTGCGAATTAATTTTGTGCACATTTTTGCAGGGCTAATCCTAAAAGATTCAACTTTGATAATATTGGCGACGCTATGATGGCTCTGTTCGAAGTACTTTCTTTCAAAGGCTGGCTTGACGTACGGGATGTCCTTATTAAGGCTCTTGGTCCCGTAAGTCATTATTTAAAAATTTAAGCTCCAAGAATGCTATTTCTTTCGTATTCTTTAATTATTGTATTCTTGTTTCAGCTTCACGCAATCTATATACACATTTATATTTTCCTCGGTTGCATGATCGGCTTGACATTGTTTGTGGGCGTCGTGATCGCGAATTACTCGGAGAACAAAGGCACCGCTTTGCTCACGGTCGATCAAAGACGATGGTGAGGCGTCACGCATTTGATAAACGGACGTCACGTTCTCTATCACGATCTACAGACTGCAAATTGTTGCAGGTGTGACTTGAAGAAACGTCTGAAGATTGCCCAGCCGCTGCACTTACCACCCAGACCGGACGGCAAGAAGTTCCGCGCTTTCATCTACGATATCACGCAGAATATTTATTTCAAGAGATTCATCGCAGTCATGGTGCTCGTGAACAGCGCTCTTCTGTGCGTTTCTGTAAGTTGGACAAAGTAATTTTCAGGTATAGACACGTGAGTCTCGATTGTTCAAAACACTCCCTTAAATATTCCAATCTTATTTAAACACATTCGACTACCCAAGAGAGTCGATTCTTTAAGACAAAAAGAGGGGCTCTAAATAGGCTTTACTGACAATAATTGAATTACGAAAATATCTAAATATTAATTTTAAGACTATAATTGTAGTGAAACGTATGTTTACAGGATCGTATAAATTTATCCTATATTATAATTCTTATCAGTTATGTTACGCGAAAGATAACACAAGAGATTGAGAAAAATAGTTTTATCAGAGTGGCCTAACATTCTATTCAGTTTTTTTTACAGATTTATTAGCATTGCTACATAGAACAAGCGCTTGGTGCGTCAATAGAATCATACAATTTTAATGTGCATCGCAAAAAGAGCATTTCTTTGAACCATTTGCTCTGTCGGCTATCATTAAACCGCGGTAAAAGTAAATGTGGCACGAATATTTGCTCGTATTTAATTTGCCATCTTCCCTTCTTTGATTCTGCTCATCCGAAGTGGAGAGTTGAGGAGGAACACACGGAAGCTCTGGCCACAGTCTCCACGATTCTAACTCTGGTCTTCCTCGTGGAAGTGATAATGAAAAATATTGCTTTTACACCACGTGGTTACTGGCAATCCAGAAGAAACAGATACGACTTACTCGTGACAGTCGTGGGTGTTATCTGGATCATCATACACTGGACGATGCAGGTACGCTCGCGTTGAGAATACTTTACAACCGATTTTTCCTTCGTCTACCACTCGTCATGTCTTCATCGCATTGCTTTCAGAACGATTTGTCCTACGTGATTGGATTTATGGTCGTGATCTTGAGATTCTTCACCATCACCGGCAAACATACCACTCTCAAGATGCTAATGCTGACGGTCGGTGTGTCTGTCTGCAAGAGCTTCTTCATCATATTCGGCATGTTTCTCCTTGTCTTCTTCTACGCGTTAGCCGGCACCATAATCTTCGGCACGGTGAAATACGGAGAGGGCATAGGACGGTGAGTAAAGTGGGACAGCTGCGTGATTTTACAATGTATAAATATACAGAATACACACTGCAATGTAATATGAACTGTTCAACATGGTACTAAACTTTTCTCTCACGCTACAATATTTCATCATCTTGCCCTGTCTCCGCCTAGTAATCTGAAAGGCTCTCTTGCAATCTAGACGCGCTAATTTCGAGTCACCGGTTACCGGCGTGGCGATGCTCTTTCGCATAGTGACGGGGGAGGATTGGAATAAAATTATGCACGACTGCATGGTACAACCACCCTATTGCACGCCGGCGGCTAATTACTGGGAAACGGACTGCGGCAATTTCCACGCTTCTCTAATTTACTTTTGCACCTTTTACGTCATCATCACTTACATCGTCTTGAATCTTTTAGTAGGTACGTATGCGATATACTTACACATCAAGGAAGCTTACACGTAAATCACGTAGATTACATTAAAAGAGAAATCACAGTTTTTTTCTTCGTCTTATATCCATTATTGTCTTGTCAGTCTTGTCAGATAATGTTTCAATTATCGGCAAGTTCTATAATTAATGTAATTTTTCTGTTCAGCAATATTTTTGTAATTAGATTTTTACAGTGATTTAAGGAGATAAAACAAAAATCTTTCTTTTCGAACAGCTATTATCATGGAGAACTTTTCTCTGTTTTATTCAAATGAAGAGGACGCGTTGTTATCGTACGCCGACATAAGGAACTTCCAGAACACGTGGAACGTTGTGGATAATCATCAGAAAGGAGTTATACCGGTGAAGCGGGTACGGTCCTATCTCGAATCAATATCCCCATTATACCGGTAAAACAATGTAGCAATCCGTAAGAAGCAAATGCCGACGTTAACGCGTTTCAGGTGAAGTTTATCTTGCGGTTGTTGAAGGGCAGACTGGAGACCGATCCGCAAAAGGATCGCTTGCTCTTCAAATACATGTGCTATGAATTGGAACGATTGCACAACGGCGAAGACGTTACTTTTCACGACGTTATTAAGTAAGTTCCACAAAACGGATTGTGAATATGATACTAAACATTTGTACCTTCTCAAGTAAAATTCTTAGCTGCTTGGATTCCTCGGATCTTTACAGACAACGTGAACCGTTTTATAATATTTGAGTTGTGTCGTGAATCCTTTTTTAAATTGGAGAATTTTTTTAGTATGTTATCGTATCGCTCAGTGGATATAAGAAAGGCGCTCCAATTGGAGGAGCTTCTTGCACGAGAAGAATTCGAATACATAATCGAGGAGGAAGTCGCTAAGCAAACCATTAGAACCTGGTTACAGGGCTGCCTGAAGAAGATACGAGCGGTGAGGTTGACTCGATCTAGAGTCGCATCAGGAAATAATGATCGTTTTCTTTTGTGCAGAAACAAAATAGTCTTATCGCCGGGCTTCGCGCTACGAATAATGCGGCTGTACCGACTCAAGACGTGGAGAAGGGCAAAGAGGAGAAAGGCAAGGAAGTTAGTGCCGATCGTGAGGAGGAGATTGAAATAAAGGTGCGTTTTAACTTGCTTGTTTTAAGATAAATAAACTTGTACATTTCTAAAATTTTGCTATGCTGTAATTTGCATCATCACTAATATTTAAGTTTAAAAAACAGTAATAAAAATTGTATAATCTGATGGAAAGACTCATCTTATTGATTTCTCAATTGTTAGGATGTTGAAGTCCCAAAATACAGAGCCAAGAAACCGATGGTGCTTCCAAGATCGGACAGCATAGGAAGTGCTTCGGGAAGGAAGTATCTAGCACCGACTTTATCGGATCCCGCGTCCGTTCGATCCGAAAAGGATAAGATCGCGGCGTCGAAGAAGAGAAACAGCAGACCGCCATGTAAGCTGAAGCGATTACGTTCGTAGAATGTTATCGTATTGTTATTTTTCAACGCCGAATTATCTCGGATTACCTTTTGTAGCGATGGTGAAAAATAATTTGCACCACTTGACGGAAAATACGGAGCAAAGCAGGCAGCAGAGGGAGGCGTTGAGCAACAAAGCAGCCGCGCCTAAGGTCTCCAGCGTCATGCTGGAAGTTCGGGAATGGTGGAAGGAGCAGTTAGCTTACAGCAGCGAGTCCAGCGAGGACGAACTCTGAACTATCCGAAATTGCGGATCGTAAGCAATTGCGATCGCGGCGGATTGTGAAGTGAGGATTCCTACTTTTAGCAATTGTAAAAGACGAATTGTTAGCCTAAGAATTTTGCATCCCGCGAGAAGGAAGATCCAAGGAGAAAAGTGGTATGTGCCTAATAATTTTAATCACTCGCCCAAGCTCGAGGAACTTTAACGCGCTGAGCTTCGATCGTAATTCGCCACCTTCACTGCTGAGAACTAATATTAATATTTTGCTACGCCCAAGGCAGTGTGCACAGAGCGAGCTGAAACGTTCAAATCTTTCGTTACATGTTGCACGAAGCTCATCGCGTTAGACGAATCAATTTCTTACCGGAAGAGAAAGCAAGAAAAAGGGAGAAAAAGAAAGAATTACAATTATCGAAACATACACACACACACATACACATACTCGCGACACATTTCGCATCGAATTCGGAACATCACTGCCGTGTGTCAAACAGATCGCCCATACGAAAATGCTTGAATCCTCGAACATCAGTTTGTTAAAAGATTTCGATGTATGTTTTGATGAGGAATTTTTCCGTACGTCACACTCGCGTGTACCATCACTCGTGCATCATTATGCGACTTAGCTATTTTTAAAACAGTATCTCGAGGTAACTACAATCGTATATAACAAATTTTGTACGACATGAAGTTGATCGTCGCGCGAGTAGTAGTTAGAATCGATGGTGTTATTAAGGGCAACTGTGAGTACAATTAGCATTAGGATGCGATTCGCCGTAGATATTTTTGTCGTGAAGAGGGTACCGATTCTGTGAAGAAGAAAATGAAAAAAAAACCACACATTAGGACGTTGCAGATCGTCGATTCTTTCCTCCTTACAGCAAGAATACGTCCCAAAGGCCTGTATCGTAGATTGATTTGATATTGAACAGTTGTAAAGGTTTTAGCGCGCGACCGTTGATGTTATATTATCTCTGTTATTAATTAATACAGTAACGCTGTTACGGGTGTCGCTTTAGTGAAGAGAGGGTTGTGCAGTCGAGAGTATTACGTGGCGCAGGGCATAACTTATTTTGAAACGCGATTGCGTCGGCTCTCTATATTGTGTATGTTGAACATACGAGAGATAAACGGAGCATTTATATTAAATATAAACGACTGTCGTAAGTTTTTGTAACGAGACGGCGTGCGAGTACGTCGCGATAAATTTATGAGACGAACCTTTAGCGGAACGAGGTCGATGTTAGCGCAATAAATACGCATACGCATACACGCACGATGAATGTTATGAATATATTATATATATATAAATATATAAATATATTTACAGAAGCGGAAAACGGATTTAGCGTTGTGAGCCGCATCACGTTTACATCACTGTAATGAATGTTGATGATTGTTGCTAGTTTATGTGCCAATGTGTTGTCTTATCGAGTATAGGGCAAATAAATGTTGTTAGATATCATTATTCGTAAACGTGTACAGCTTATTATTATTGATTGTTCGCGTACAAACGGTATAAAAATATTTATATTTCTCTCGAAGACATGTATAAATTAGAAAAAGCACAACTAATTATTTATTGTAGCTATAATGCATGTTTTTTCTCGTTTCACGATCTAATGTAGTTGCAGCGAGCGGATTAACTTTTTTTATTCCAAATTAATGGCTCAAGTTGTGATCTGCTTCAATTATTGTTTAAAACATAACGAATTGTAATAACGAAATATTACAAAAAATGTTTTATATCAGGAAAATGAAATCTTCCACAGCCATAATCTGATTTGCATCCGTCATGGTGCTGATAGCGGCGTTAATCTCGTCAGGTGTGAAGTTCAGGGAAAGCGTTGCGTTGAGATAATCGATGACCTCCGTCTTCAGAATATTCTGAGCCCTTCGTTCTTGGAACAACTTATTGAGCGACGATTTGAACACCGTGAGTCTAAAATCAGAGATATGTTGATTCAGAATATATTATACTTTCTGGTTTTAACAGGCACAACAGGTTTCAGCAGGACAAAAATATAAAGATACCGTGTTGAAGATATTTGAGACATAAAGGAAGAGTTACACGAAGGAAACCATTTAACTACCAAATGTTTCTGCTATTCCACAAAGCACAGTTAATTTAACAGGGTTTATTTCACGGAGGACCATTTACTTCGAGTGAAATTACCTTTCTTGCGTGATTGTCGGCGTCGCTGTTTCGGGAACGGAACGCCCGGAGGGCTCCGCGCCTTCGGCCTCCGCGCCTTCGGCCTCCGCGCCTTCGGCCTCCGCGCTTTCGGCCTCTGGTGTGTGGCTACTGTGTGACTCCGTGTGCGTGCTGATCTTTTGCGACTGCGTCCTGGTTATTCTTCTGGTCGCCTGCTCGATATGCTCGTCGTCGCTGTCGTACTCGTACGGGTCGATCTCGTCTCCCGTCGTCTTCCTAGAGCGCTTCGGCCGTCTCTCCTCGTCCATCTCGTCCGACGCGTCACTGTCGTGACGTCGCCGCTTCTTCTTCTCTTTTTCCAGCACGCGTTTGAAATAGGCGAACTGCACGAGCTCTATCGCGGCGCTTGCGTCCTCGCTCTCCACGTTCTTCGAGAGCCGTGCCTTTGCGTGCGCTGTGGACAACCGAATCAGCGTTTCCAGAGTTCTCGCGGTCACCGGTTGAGTCTGAAAAATTATACAAAAAAATGTCAGGCACATATACTTTGCGTACGTGTCTTTTTACGCGAGTCTAGAATTTTTCTTCCACTCACTCTCGCAACGTCGGATTCCACCATATCCTCCGATCGAAGTTTCGAATATTCCTCCGCTATCACCGCGCTAGCTTCTTCCGTGAGCTTGGGTTTCATGCACCGTGCAATGTGTATGTACTTTCTCATGAACTGTATGGTGAGGATCTGGTCTCTGAGAAAGGAATTCGAAAGATAAGTTTCCTCGTACAAAATCTTTACGCAATCGGAGCTCGATATTTTCCAAAATCAGTTGAACCAAAGATTGAAAGTGTAGCGAAATATGTTACAGAACAAAAATGTACTTTTTAGACCGCGTTTGCCCATGTAGAAGCGGATCGTATTTCTGGTAAACTTGGGACTGCGTCTCCTCGGTAGCCACATCATCCGGATTCTTCGTGGTCAGCATGTCCAGCTTTGAGCCCAAGCTCAAAGCCTCCCCGTCCTGTTCCAGGGGACTTCTGTATCGATGCATCCGGACGACGTGATCGCTAATCACGTGATCCTGATCCGAGTCAATCACGTCCAGCATAACGAAGAGCAGGTCGAAACGCGACAACAGAGAATCTTGTAGGCCGATATTCTCCATGGGAGTCTTGTACTGATCGTACTGGAAGTGGGAAATGAGCTTTCTTTAAATAATATATTCACATATCTCTTATTGTATATTGTACTTTGTACGAGCAACACACACTCCAATTTTTAATAGAGAAATATTTTTGCGCAAAACGAATTTAAGCTTGTTCTTTATAAATCGCACAGAGCTTTGTAAGTTTGAATTTGCTCGTATTAAAAAGGATCGGATACAAATAGCTTCTTCAAGAGGATCCGAACTTACTCTCCCGTACACAGGATTCGCAGCCGCCAGCACCGAGCAACGTGCATTCAGGCTGGCGTGAATGCCCGCTTTCGCGATCGTGATTCTGCCTTGCTCCATCACCTCGTGTATCGCCGTCCTGTCGATGTCTGACATTTTATCGAATTCGTCGATGCAAATGACGCCGCGGTCCGCTAGGACCATCGCGCCCGCTTCCAATCTGCGCTCGCCGGTCTCCTGATCGACCGTAACCGCTGCCGTTAAACCAACGCCGGAAGATCCCCTTCCCGTGGTCGGAATCGCTCGCGGAGCGGTGCACAACACGTAACGTAACAGTTGCGACTTGGCCACCGATGGATCTCCAATTAATAACACATTTATGTCTCTGTAATGTATCAAAAAATCTTGGTTACATCATTCAAGGAGCATCGTGAATACAAAAGAAAGAAACCAACTTCTGCCACTTGCGATTAAATTAATTTTTCAGCTTTTTTTATATCTTTTCTTAATAATTTATATATAAATTAGAAATATTTTTCAATCAAACCGATAATTGAACCACTGTTAAATTGATAAAATTTAAGCTATCACGAGACACGGTAGTGTCTCGCACCAAGTGTAAGCGCAGCTAGTTTAGGAAATAACAGTTGAATGTTACATTATCTTCTAGTTAAACCACGCAGAGAGCTGTTAAAGAATCTTAAAGTTTTTCTTTCAAAGTGAAATTATAAAGGATTCTGCGAGAACTTACCCTCTCAGCCTCGTGCCATTTGGCAAAACCTTCTCAACGCCACCCAAGAGAAGGCAGAGTATCGCTTTCTTTATGTATGCATTGCCGTGTATGGATGGCGCAAGGGACTTTGCGAGGAGCTCGAAGATATTCTTGCAGGGATTATGCCTCGCCAGTTTCTTACACATAGCTACATCGTCGTGAGAGATGGCGAGGTTCGCCTCTTTACTGAGCTGCATTATGTTGTTGGCGATTAGGACCGTCCTATAAAACGAAATCATGGCGATGAGCTTTGAGACGAGGATACGAGAGACGCATGACCAATTCATATAGGAAATAATCCTCGATTCTTGTCTAAAACGTACTTGAAAGTTCCAGTTGTGTATCCACCTTGTTTCCCCGGGAGACACCGGAAATTTCCGACAATCTGCACGCGATCCCCGGGCTTGCACATGTCCACGAGGTCGTTATCGCAAATTACATCCACGCTTCGTGGCAGCTGACCGGCCGGGGCTTTCTCCGGCATCTCCTGTATGGTGAGCGTCTGATGATCCTTGTAGGTCGACAGACCGAATTCCGTTTCAAGCGGGTTGCCGTCCTCGTCCTGCAACGCGACGGAAAAATTAATCTCCAGATACAAACGACAAACGCTCCTTCACACTCAAGCAAGGCGGGAATAATCACAGTAGTCGGATAAACAGCCGAGTGGGGAAAAGCCTCCAGGGAAGTTAGATCTGAATAGGCCCGCTCCAATACTGTCTTGGTCACGTCGCAATAATGGACGCTCCTCACAACTTTCGGTCGTACCAGTGAACCTGCAACAGATACCCTTTATGAATGTTATTCTAATGAATACAAGTTTCACAAAACTTGATAAATTTGGTACATGTAAACAGACCAAACAGATATATTAAAGTTAAGGATTAGACTCTCGGATCAATTTCGCGAGTCCGAGCTTCAACTCGACGCCTTTCCTGGATACTTGCATTTCGTGACGATACCCTCCACGCACACCAAGTTGCCCAGGTAACGAGAGGTGAGCGTCCTCGGTGTGACGTGCTTGTTCCCGAAGCTACCCTCGAACGCTACGAAGAAATCCTTGTTGCTCTTGGCGTAGTCGATGTCCACGCTCGAGATGTACTGCTTCAGGGCGTTCTGGAAGGCCAGTTGCTCCTCGAAGGAATTGTTCAGCAGGCTGCAACACGAACAGTTGTCGCAATTATTCCTGTAGAGTTGGCACGACTCGTCGCAACCGAATCTACAGCGTACCTCGTCGAGCGGGCTGGATTTTTCCTCCTCAAGTCGTTGATGTTCACGACCAGCCTGTACTTGTCTTCCTGAATCATGTTCTTCACCATCGTGGCGTATATGCCCTGGTCCTCCTGCGCAACACCGGCAAGCACAAGGTTCTCATGAAAGCGTCAAGCAAACGCACGATACCATCTGTGTGGCGTTCAATCCTCTGCAACGCCAGGCGACTCTGAACCCAGTAAACACTGGGTGCTTTCCAGCAATGTACACAGACAACACTGTACAACACAGCGAATCGTTTGATTTTCGTTGTTTGCCATTATTAAACAAGAACGAAATGATTCTCTGTATTAGGTACGGTCTACAATGAGTTGTTAGAAGTCAGAAATGTCGGTCTTTTTTCTCCCACCCAGAAAGGAAAAGGATCAATTAGGATTAGACCGGGTCTTACGCTGTGTCAATCTGCATCTCTTGCTGGAAAGCACGTCTTAACAGTTGCGTGGCATCAATATTATGTCTCACTCAACAATATAAACGCGATACGACACGTGTGCGCAACAGTGACATCATTGAGTAAAAAATTATTGATATTGTGTTGGCATTTACTGGCAAGCTACGCATTCATTTAGACGTCTACATTTTCCTGGTCTCGAGGATTTAACAAATGTTTTCCGCGAGCAACAGAGGGCCGGTTACGGAGGATCGAAGCCAAGCGCCGAGCAAACGTCGACGAGCAATTGCGACGGGGCGCCTCACCGCGTCGTCCAGGAAGTCGACATATTCGCGCGTTATTTGCTCCAGGTTCTGATCGATCTCCGTGTCCATCTCCGCGGCGGGTGCTCGGGCACTTGTCGCGCTTCAAACGCTAAAGACAATCACCAGGCGCTTTGAAAGCTACCCACTGCCATTTGCGCGGGAAAATGGCCACGCGGGCCAAACCGCCGCTTGGAAAAATCCCCAGGCGGGCCCACGTGCTCGTTCCCGGGGACTGGACTGGTCCTCAGGTTTCTCGGACTGCGACGTGCGAGAGATGGCGACGGTGCGCCGCGCGGGCGCGAGAGGTTAGGTTCGCTCGTGCGGTCCGCTCTTGGGTGACTTGGGTCGAGTGAGTCGAGTCTCGCTCAGTCTCGCTCTCAAGATTCGCTCGTGGAGCGTCACATCGGGAAAAGTACACGATGGCGCAGAGCAGGCTGGAGAGGATCGGCACGATATACAGCAGGTGGGCCCGCGTTGTCCGGTCGGGATTGTATTGGAAATTAAGCTGGCGATCGCGAGGAGACTGCAGTGAGAAACCGCCCCATTGACGCTTTATTTATTTTATAACATTTATTACTAACAGCTGCGTGGCATCAATATTATTTCTCACTCAACAGTATAAACCAAACAATAGAAATGTGATGCGACACGTATGTAACAGTGACATCATTGAGTAGAAATTTATTGATATTGCGTTGGTTTCGCTGGGAAGTTACACATTCATTTAGACGTCTATGTTTTTCTGCTCTCGAGGATTTAACAAATGTTGTAATTATATTACTCGAATTTGTCATATTTATTATGCTTATTCGAACTGACTAGAGAGAATCTTTGGACATGGAGATTTAAATCAAGTTGCGTCGTCTTCTTTGAGATTATAAGTGACAGTGGACTCGTGGCTGTTTAAATTGCTGTTTTGAACACGAGCGACTCGTTTCTGTATAATTGAACGTGCGTTTCAGAGTTACCTCGTTATTGAAAGGCAAAGCTATGAAGGAGGAAGACATGCCGCTGTGGGTGGCGGTGTACCAGGCTTTTCCCCCGAAGTACGAGCCTAGATACGACAGACGACTGCCGAGGAAACCGATCAGGCCTGTCTTTTACGAGGAGGACCCTATTCGAGCGTAAGGACCTGTCTGTTCGATAAAATACATTTATATTTATACCAAGATATATTTACATTTATACTAAAATATATTATTACATTTATACTGCACCATGCAAATGTTGCGATACGTTTCCCGCTGCAGGAGGTTCCACAGAGATCAGAGCTTCATACCAAGTACCAATCTGGCGAACGAAAATGTCAAGTCCGCCACGCAGAACTTCCTCTCCATGTACCAGGCGATAAGCAAGGTAGGCGACAACTTGATTTGTCGATTAAATTTTTAGGTAATTACGCATAAAAGGGGCCTCCCCTCCGATTTCATTTATATATACATATGTATATAATTACTCTGGAAGACCCTCCCTAATAACATATTAAAAAATAAATGAAATCGGAGGGGAGGCCCCTTTTATGCATAATCGCCAATTTTTATTTTTCTTAATCCATGCCCGTTGGCTTTGCGTATATATCCGTCGATTAGATTAATTTCTCAATAACACCGAGAATGTGCTGAAGCAGGAAGGACTGTCTGAAGACGACGCGTACGAAAAGGCGATGAAACGATACGCCTCCGAGGTGGAGACGAGAAGGGAGCCGACGAATACGAAAGAACCATTCACAGACTCTCGAGTGAAGTAGTAAAATATATTCGTATAGTTTTGTTATAAATAAAGATCTCATTGTTAAAACTCTTCCTGCTACATCTATGTAAACTACATACAGTGTTTGCGGTAACGAGACAGACGTAATTAACGAGCCTTGTTCAACAACAGTGTTTATATTTCGTGACAATCAATACATTAAATAACAATGAGTTCCTGCAAAGTTATAACTTATGTCGATGAGTGCGGGTAAACGCGAATGTACGACGATGCACTTGACGTGCGGAGATCAATCGCGAAAAAATTCTCGATCGCAATAATTTCTCGTTTGGTTGCGACACTAATCGTCCGCCATAATCCAGGGCGAATACTTAATTAATAAATCGAATACGTAATTTCTGGCTCTTTTACAACAGTGGTGTTGGGGGGGAAAAAGGGGATACAAGCTGCGTATAATGTCACTGGTGGTTTGCTTCGTGCGCGCTGCAGGTACGAGTAATTAAAAAAATAAATATAAAACGCACTACTTGCAAACTAAAGACATAGCTGCACCGAACGCACCGATCCGAGAACATAATAGTCGAAAGTACGTATTGTGTTACATAATTGAAAATACTCTCAACCGAGAGCGCATTACGTTTCCTAGCCTCGAGTGTCGCTTCTTGCTTAAATGCGTTTACCAGCGAATTGAAATGTGCAAGTTGTGTTACGTCGTTACTTTTCATTTTATTGCTTTATATAAATGCTGCAATGAAAAGTCCCGAGAGACGCTTAGCACGTCGAGAAGGAATATCTGCCGAGTAAAATAAAATTTCTAGCAAAGGGTTTCTCGTCGTTAAGCGCAATTAAGGAGCGTCATAATTAAAAATAATATAACAGTTTTGTGACAACATTTTACGTTCTCCTTCGCTGAGTATTTCATATCACATCGATTACACTTGGGATACACTGATCGTTTCTGTGCAATTAAATAATGGATCGAAATTGAATGATTTCATTGAGCAAGAATACTTGTAACGTGTACGTGTGGTCTTGTATCTTCCCAGTGTTACATTGTAATAAGTTAATTCTAACATATTTAAACATCGTGTCCCACAACCTTCGGTTCGATTAGACTTAAATCTCGGTAAAACTCGCGGTATCCGTCCGAAAGATATCACTTTGGACGTGTTGTAACTGAATCGTACAGAAAGATGCGCGAGTGTGGCCTAGAAATCGTATATCTATATCGTCTCCGAGATTAGCGTCAGCAGTAAAACTTATCGAAATCTTAACATTAACAATATTATAAAAGGTAATTGATGGTGCTAAAAATAGCTCTTTGATATCTAAAACAGCTCAGTTAATATCAGTTGAGAATATCCGAAAAGTGTCCTCCCTTCCCCATGTCCCTCTGTCACGCGGTGACGAGACAGAGATTTGCATTTAATATTCCTCTCCTGCCGTTACATAAATACTTAAATAGCGTGACTCTCGTAAGGTTCGATTATACAAGCGAAAACATACGTTAAAATACCGTTAGACTATTTGCTTAGGACTTAGTTTTATACAAAATAAGAATGTTTTTCTTATTACTTGGTAATGCTGTAACTTGGACGAACGAAAGAGCATCAGTTTACAGCCTGTGTTCATTATTACAGGGTGTTCGTTAATAAGCGTGCACGCGGGAGCACTGCGAGACACCTGCGATGTCGTTCGCTCTTCCAATTTCTTCTTTTTTTTTCGAGGGCGATTTCTATTCCCGAGCGTCAAGCACGCTTATTAGCGTAATCAATCCTTTACGTGCTAGGTACTATACTATTGGACGTATAAGATTCACTGAGCGCACACATCGCTCAGTTGAACTTCGCACCACTTAAGCACTTCCGGTACTATGCTGCCGAAGAAGAGAATTCCATCACAATGTACTCTTCGAAATTTTGTCACATCGAATTGTAACATCTCTTATATTGGCACCGAATCTCATTACGACGAAAATTTCCTTCTACCGGCATTCATTGAAAGGACACTGGACTGGACTAGGTCCAGCTTCTCACTGCGCATTCGGCATTAAATGTTGCTTATTTGTATCGTCATCTTCGTACGAGGTAATGTCAAACGCTAAAAAAAAATACGGTTTGCCAAATGCACCTGAGGACACGGGAGATCTTACGATCTCCGGGAGAATCAAGCTGCCGACCAGTTCTCCGATCGCCACAGCAGGGTGTACATGCCGTGCCTGAGCTCCTCGTTCTCCAGACTCTTTATGGGGAAGTCGGTGTACCGCGCGATCAGGCTGCGATATCCCTGGCCGACGGTCGCCAGCACCGCCCTCTTCTTGTCGGTGGACCTGAGAGTGATGATCTGGCAGACCTTGCCCTCGAACGGCCGGAACACGGTGACGGGACGTAGGGTGCCGCACTCGGCGACGACGATGCAACCCCAGGTGGTGCCGATGTATAGCTGGCCGCCGCTGGCCTCAAGCGCGGTCACCTGACACTTCTCCGTCGACAGATTCTCCTCGATGGCGATGGACTTGAGACTCTCGGAGCACGGTACCAGCTTGGACATATCGAGCTTATTGACGATCTGCCGGCTATCCACGTCCCACTGGTACACCACGCAGCCCGGATACGTATACGAGAAGACGAAGCTTTCGGTCGCCGCGCCGATCAGATACGTAGCGAAGAGATTCCTCATTGCGGCTTCGTTGGCAGTCCCGGTGCAGTGAGACAGCTGCGTCGTGTCGATCAGATTGCCGTCCTTCAACGTGTAAACGGATATCCGGCCGTAGCTCTGGCCCGCCCAGAGCTCCAGCACGCGTCTCTTCCGGCAGACCGCGGCAAGCGAGTAGGTCTTGACGTCGGCGCCGTTGCGCGCCGTTTCCGTGCCACCGTTGCCGGTGACCTCCGTCTTCCTCATCTGCGTGAACGAGTTGGACAGCAAAAAGATCCGGCCGCTGTGCAGGGCTATGGCGAACTGCTTCAGCTGCTCCAGATGGATCAGCCCGACCACTTTGGACTCCCTGCTGTGATCCGCCTCCAGACTGTGGCTGGCCACGCAGCCGAAGTTGCCGCACAGATAGACGTGCACCTGGCCGGCGTTGTCGCCGATCCAGATGTAGCCGTCCACGCCGCACATGGCATACGGTATCACCGGTGTCTCGATGCGCACGTGGCGCAGCCAGCCCTTCTGAGTGCCCAACAGCATATCCACCTCGCCGTTATTGTGTCCGAACCAGATCTCGTCACCGTTGAGACCCTCCGTCGCGTCGTTCTGCCCGCTGTTACCATAATGATTGGTCATGGTCACCGCCGTCACCTGCGTGCGTTCCGTCAACAGGGTTACGTCTATCAGATGCGTGAACTCGGGTGCGGAGGCGATCGAGACGATCTGACTGGCAGTCGGCCGGTCCTTCGGGTTCTGCGCCCAGCAGATCACCATCAAGTCGAGCGCGTAGCACGGATGGAAAGTCTCTCGGTACATGAGCGGTGGTCTGCCGCCCTCCAGGATGCATTCCTTCACCGCCTCGTGACCCTCGAACGGTTGGCGCAGCGTGACGAGCTCGTAGATGAACATGCCGAACGAGAACGAGTCCACCTTCTCTGTGTACTCCTCCTCGCCGTTGTATCTGATGATTTCAGGCGCCATGAAGCCCTCTGTACCACCGAAACCCTTCGCTCCCGTAGGCAGCGTCAGCCTCGAGATACCGTAATCGGCGACCTTGACGTGCGCCGGTTCTGGACTCTCCTGAAACGGCAACGGCATCTGCCACACCAGCACGTTCTCAGATTTGAGGTCGCGGTAGATAACGTGCTGCTGGTGCAGGTACTCCACCGCCTTGGCGACCTGAAGGATTATTGCCTGAAGAGTGTAGGGATCTAGCTTGGCCCCGGAGCGACGATAGTTCTTCAGGACGGCGTCCAGCGCGCCCTGAGGCGCTAGATCCAGCACGAGAGCTAAAGGACTGACGACTATACCGATCAGGGGCACGATATTGGCGTGCCTGAGCGTCAGCAAGATATTGAGCTCCTGACGCGCCATGCAATACGCCTTGCAGGCATACTGCAACGGGTCGCGGTCCCACTTGCTCTGTGACGCCTTGTACGCGAGGATCGCAGACTGCGTGGAGTTCGGGCCCGGCGAGACTGGTTGCAACATCTTGATGGCCACGTCGGCGCGGACGTGCGTGCCGGGCAGCCGGCAGTTGCCGCGGAAGACGAAGCCGAAGGCGCCGCGGCCCAGCAACTTGCCCCGCTTCAAGTCCTCCGACTTGATCAGGTGCTTGGCGCCGAGATCCATGAAGATGATATCTGGCGCGACGTGCGACAGCGGGATCTCCGAATGCCTCGGGCAGCCGATAGGCTTGCTGCTGTACGCCGCCAATATGCACTCCTCCACCATCCAGGAATACACGAGAGTGTTTTCGGAATGCGAGGAACTCTGCTGCTTCGACACGTCCGGGTGTCCCTCGAGCGACGGCATTCTGCTGGACGTCAGACTGTCGTAACCGACGCCACTGTCGCCGTCGGACTTGTAACTGTCCTGGCTCTGTCTCTCGGTGCGATTTACGGCGCAGTACTTCTGGATGTCCTCGATCAGACGGCCATCGCTGTCGCTCGACTCGCCGTCGCCGTTCTCGGTGTTGCCGAGCAAGCAGCGCGGACACGGTATCAACCTTGTGACCAGTAATTTACCCTCCGACGTGTGGACGAAACGTGTGCCCAGTGTCGGGTACCAGTCTTCCAGCAGGATGTCGATGTGATCGACGATCAGCGCCATTAACTGCGGCATGCTCTCGGGCCGTGGCTCCACCACAATCGCTTGGTAGCCCATCGGCTCCTCGTCCACGGAATCGGACATGATGGGCTGCTTGATCACCAGGGTATCCACCGGGAACCAAATCTCTAAAATAGCAGAATTCTTTAGGTCCACCGTGCACCAAATACCGTCTTGTTTCAACTTGAACTTAAACTGCCTGTAATCGTACGGCGAGTTCTTCAGATTGTAACAGACTTCCTTCAAACGTAGCAACGTGATGCCGGAGTATCGCAGCTCGATCCCCGTCTGCCAGAGCACCCACTCAGCCTGTAGATCCAGTAGACTGGCGAAAATGTTGTCGTCGACGAAGTCCTTGAACGGCGCCAGGAACGACATGACGATATCGACGATAGCGTCGTCCGCGAGGATCCGGGTGATCAGTCGGGACCAAAAGCCGCTGGGAAAATACGACATGAGCAACAGTCTGGTAACGGAGCAGTCGGGTTGGGATCTCGATGTGAGCACGCATTCAGCGTTATTTTTATTGTCGCTGGTTGGTCCACCCAGGCACGCAAATGTAGGCGACGTGATCTTCTTGGCACGTACGTGCCAACCGCGCGTCTTCACCGGTACCTTGATGATCTGATTATTGCGCAGAATATCCTCCTCGGTCGGTAAGAGGGACGGTATCAACAGCGTGCGGCAGTCCCACGTCAGAGCAACCTCGAACTTGTTGAGCAAGCTAACAATGTAGCCTTGGGTGTCAATCGACGATATCGTGGAGGACTTGAATACGTGTTGGATATCGTCCAGTTTCATTATTCCCGATCTGGCGAACGGATTGATCTCTCGTATGGTGACCACGTGGGCCAGCATGTCGCAGAGCCATTGCGGGTCTAAGAAATAGAGGTCTTTCAAAGTGGCATCGTCATAGTGCAAGATTATACCGTTCTCGTGAAGGAACAACGTCGCCTGGTGCAACTCGGCGGGATCTCTGAAGGATCTGTGTAGCTTTTGAAGCTCGTTATTGACGGCTGCGTAGTACTGGTCGGCTTTTAGCACCGGGTCCAGGCCGGATAGCTTTCTGTCGTGCGCCAATTGGATCACCACGTCTTCCAGCGCTAGGTAACTCGCCGGGACCTTCTGCTCCAGTAACAGTTCCTTACTGCCGGGCGACCTCAAACTGAAGACTACGTCGTAGACGAGGTTGCACAGCATCTTGATGTTGTGACGCGTCTTGCAGCTCACCTCGATCGTCTCCATGACTTTGGGCAGACCGCACTTCTCGGCGTCGACCACGTTGATGAATTTATCGCGAATGTACTGTTGCAGGCTCTCGCTGTGCTCATAGGCAACGTCGTAATGCGTGCCGACGATGATGACCGGCGAGTTAGGCGCTCTGCTCTGAATGTTCACCAGCCACTGAAAGATCTCGGAGACGCCTTTGAAGCCGTCCGTGATCCGCCACACGACCAGATACAGACTGCGCTTCGACAGGAAATACTGATGCGTCGCGTAGTACTCGCGCTGACCGCCAAAGTCCCAGGTTCTGAAGTAGACCGACCCGTGGGACGATTGTCCGCGGACTTTCTTCTCGTAAATCCAATCGCCAATGTCCACGCCCACGGTCGAAATGGTCGTACCCTTGGCGGTCTTCGCGTTGATGTTCTTGTTGCCCATCCGCTTGGCCCAATGTTCCGACGACTTCTTCTTGCTCGGCACCTCGCCCTCCTGCCGCAGCTGCTCCAGCAGACTCGTCTTGCCGATCCCCTGAATACCGACGATCATCAGTTTCATGCGCGCGTACGCCTTCGCGTCCTCCAGGATCGACTTGAGGTAACCGATCACGTCCATGGTCTTGTATTTCTTCGACTCGATCATCGACTTGAGCGGCTCCTGTAACCGGCAGCCTTGAGTGTTCAAGTTCCACAGACGACCCAGCAAACCCATCTGCGGCGGCAGCTCGACGATTTCGTAGTTGCCGCTGATATTCAGCACCGACAGATTACTCAGCTCGTAGATGTTGTGCGGTATCTCGCGCAGTTGATTATTGCTGATATCCAACATACTGACATTGGGAAAGAGCAAGTACAGTTTTGATCCCGGATGCCCGATCTTCGGGTCTCTGTCCGAATCCCCGCGTTCCTCCTCCAAACACGGCATCTCGCCGTCGTCGCACGACGTCAGTTGGATGCGATTGAGCAGATTGTTCGCAAGTATCAGGGTGCGCAGGTTCTCCAGCCGCAGATGCCGCCTGTGGGCGCACACCGATTGCAACACGATGTCGCGCATCGACGCGGGTGTCTGCCGGTTGCTGGGCACGATGCTCGGCGATTGCGCGTTGGCGGTCGGGCAGTAGCAGGCCGTGTTCGCTTGCTCCATGCTGTCGGAACTGTCGACCTGCGGCAGACTGGGCCATCGTGTGATCTGATTGTTGGACAGGTCCAGTTGTTTTAGACTCGCCGGATACGAGGTGATGTGGCTCATCGAGCGCAGCGAGTTGTACGCCATGTTCAGCCGCACCAGGCTCACCGCCAGACACGGCAGCGCCACGGGAATGCTATTGAAAAGGTTGTGCGCCAGATTCAACGACGCCAGCACCGACTTGTTGCCGTTCTCCGTGTCGTCGCTCATCCTCTCCGACACTTGGACTGAGCTGATCCATACGTGCGGTCGTTCCATCTCGATCACCTGCGCGTTCGCGATCTTCGCGAACGAATCGAATTCCATGGACTCTATTCGCGGCACAGCGGCCAGTCCGCGGAAGTTGGTGCCGTTCTGCTGCGCCTCGTCGCCACGTTGCGGTTTCCTCAGGACGTTCTGCGACGCCTGGCTGGGCAGATCGCGCAGCAGATTGAACGATGCGTTCAGCTCCTTTAACTTCGGCGCGCGCCACAGGTTCTGCGGCAGACACTGCAGCTTGTTGTTGGACACGTCCATGATCTCAAGCGCCGGTAAGTTCATGATGAATTCCGGCAGCTGCTCCAGTCGATTGTCTTGCAAGTACATCTCCTCTAGAACCGGGCACAGCTTGTCCTTGGGATTCTTCGAGTCGGCCGTGAGGGCGTCGATCTTGTTCTGCGCCATGTTGAGGTACCGCAGGCTCTGTAAGTAGAACATGATGGACGGTACGGAGGTGATGGAGTTGTGGGAGATGTCGATCCGCGTGATGGCGTACAGCACCAGATCGTTGTTCCTCGGACTCAGCTTCTTGTTGACGTGCAGCACGGCGTCGATCAACCACTGCAGCCGGATCTGCGAGAGACGGCACTGCTGGTCGTGCCAGTTGATCATCGTGGGTGTCTTAGGGAACAGAGCGGAGTAGGTGACGTGGCCGAAGGACGACAGTGCGGAGAAGTGCGAGCTCTGCGTGCACTCGGTCATCGCCTTCTTGTTGATCTTGTACTCGGAGTCCGGATGCGCCTTGATCGACAGTAGTTTCGCGGTCAGCGCCTCGTCGCGATTCTGCGCGGCGATCTTGAGCGCCTTGCACTCGTTGTCGATGGCGCCGTGCTTCAGCAGCAGATCCGCAATCTTCACGTCGCGATTCTGGCACGCGATCGTCAGTACGTTCGAGTAGTTGCCGTCGGGATCGCTCTGATCGTACGGGACTTTGACAGGCAGCTCGAGATTAGCGCCCGCCTGAAGGAGAGCGTTCACCACCTCGGTGTGCCTGCCCCTGACGGCCGCGTGCAGCGCCGTCTCGCAGCCGTTGTTGCAGTAGAGATCCAGATTCACCGGATATATCATTTTCTCGTCCTTCTTGTCCGTGGGCGTCTTGCTGCGGAAATTGAGCGACGACATCAGCCTCTGAATGCCACTGGAGATCTTGCGCTTCGACACCGGCAGTTGCTGCGCGCCGCCCACGCCGTCCTCCTCTTTGGTCGTCCTCGCCTTCACCCGGTAACCCAGCAGCAGCTCGACGCACTTGACGTTGCCCAGCATGCTGGCTATGTAGAGCGCGTGCTGTCCGGTGACGTCCTGCGCGTTAATGTCGAACGGTAGGTCGTACTCGAACTCGCCGGACGGGTCCCTGTAGCGTTGATAAACGTGCTGCGGATACTCGAACTTGAGCAGCGCGTCGATCACCGGGTGATGGCCGTTTATCGTCGCCGCGTGAATCGGCAGCCAGCGCTCCACCGTGAACTGCTGCGCCTGCTTGGGGAAGTGCCGCAGCAACAGCTCGACGATCTCCAGCTTGCCGTGGTAGCACGCTATGTAGAGCGGACAGTACTTGGTCACCGGATGGATCCTGCAGTCGGCGCCGTGATCCAGCAGCAGCCGCACGATGTCCTTGTGGCCGCTCTCGCAGGCGACGAAGAGCAGCGTGTTGGCGCCGTTCGGCGCCATGTTCACCACGCACTCGAGATCGGTCGACAGGCCCTGGATGATGTTCCGGGTGGCCACGGTGTCACCCTGGATACAGGCGGCGCGTAGGGAGGCGTGTGTCGCCTGTTTGGCGAGCTCGTACTTCTCGGCCGCCGCCTTCAGCAGGTGGATGCAGGCGTCGTGGTTGCCCTTCTCGGCGACGTCGAGGGGCCGCAGGCCGTCGTCGTCGCGGATCATTAGGTCCGCGTCGAAGCCCAGCAGCTTCTCCACGTTGCCGGCGTGGCCGTGCTCCGCGCAGACGTGCAACGGCGTGCGGTGGTGGCCGCGGGGGCCGCAGGTGACGTTCGGGTCGGCCCCGGCGGTCAGCAGGACGTCCAGGCAGCGGGAGTTGTCCGTGATCGCGGCCGCGTGCATCGGCGTCCTGCCCCAGGAGTCCTTGCTGTTGATGTACTGGGCGTGCTCGCCGCGCAGCAGGTCCTCCAGCAGCTCGGCGTTGTCCCAGAGCGCGGCCTGGTGCAGCAACCGGCCCGGGAAGTCCTCGTCGATCGGCGTGTAGTCCTCCATCGCGGCACCCGCGACGATACCGCGTCGCTCTCGAATCTGCACGGCAGCGACAAACGTGGCGACTAAAGAGCGTAACTTTTACCCTCTCACGTTCCTTGAGGGAACAATGAAGATTATAATGATACTGCTTCTCCTCTCCGGAACATCAAATTAAAATTCTTTCTCCTCTTCTCCGAAACGTGAAATTAGAATTATGCATTTTTTTTTAAAGATGTAATTTGGCACGGTTTGAAAGGAAGCTCCTTCAATTTTTTTCCCCCTCGAGCTTCCTCCCTCCGTAATTAGCCTCCATTATTGAATTACTCGACATTACCCGCCATTATCTCTTCGCTATTGTATTTATTATGTCGAGCATTGTTTTATATACGGCACGAGATCGCTAATGAAAGTATCTTTTACCGAAAGGAAATTTATTCCACATAGATTAACGCCGAGACAGTTGTTTGCGATCCTGAATTTATAACGAGAGCAGAGATGGATTTCTCCAATTAAGATCGGAGCAGATTAGCGGCGGTTATTAATGTAATTAGGAATGCACCTACACAAATCCTGTTTACGACCCCGTTACATGGCTGCTACCGCTAATGCCACTTCTCCCCGCTTCGTCATCGCCTCCTCCGGAGTGCATTCTGCAACAATGTCGGTTGAATCGAGCCGGCAATCCTCACGAGCACCAATCCCTCATACATCGCAAACGACGCTCACCTCGCTGACACGCTGCAGACCGACGCACCGAACTGCGTCGCTCGAGGAACCAAATCCGGACTCACGTCGGCTCGGTGAGGCTTCGCGAGAACTGTAAGTCCCAGTCTACAATAGATGATTTAAGCCCTAAGC